GCCAAACGTCCACACAATTACAGAATTGCTCACATAGACACTCGTATTGTCATTTATCAGTAGTGTATAAATCATTAGCCTAATTTTTTTTTAGATGCCAACATCTCCATATACCTCCAAGTCAAATAGTATGGTTGTACATGTGATGGCGCGATGTACCGTGGATGATCGACGCTGCCGACGGACCGGATTGGTCGTGGCGTCGGGCTGGGGCTGCCGCAGCCACAGTCCAACGTCATTTCCACGCGGAATGTCAGGAAGGCTTCCAGGCGCGCTATGTCACACATGTCACCCAACAAAACCCCAGACACGTCCTGACAATCTTCAGACACACTGCTCATATCCTGCTCGCTTCTTCCCCCCGTACATTGCTACTCGCCATGTCTCTTAACCCTGAGCCTTCGGCGCCAGAGGAGCGCGCGGAGCACAACCTGCCGCCCAAGTCGTATGCTGACGCTGCCGAAGAGGCTCTCCAGTCGGGCCCACAATCACATGTCAACGGCGAGGGCAGGACTGACGAGGTAAAGACCAATGGCATCCATGCTGCCGAGGACGAGGAAAAGACGTCGCACGAAGGCATTGGCCAGGATGGCTCTCCAAAAAGCCCAACAGCGCGAGGCCATCGCCGGGTGTCGTCGCGCAGCTCCCACAAATCATCTAAAAGCACCCAGGATAACCAGCCGCCCAAAGACATGATTGAGAATCATATCAATGGTAATGGCAATGCGCTAACCACTGTGAAACCTTCACAGGAGAGCGAGCTCCCCCCGCAAGACCGACGAACCGACCTCAAGCGCAGAGATTCGGAGCTCACGGCGGGACGGCAGGCCGGCGCATCATGGTCAAAGAGCAAGTAAGTCGACACGCATGCCCATTCACTACCATACGATACAGTGCTGACGACTTCAGAATACGGTTTGCCCCCATGAATGTACCCTTGCAACGCCGTCTGCAGACCCTCGCTGTGCTCATGCACACGCTCAGCATTGTCGGAAGTCTCGCCATCTTCTTCTTCCTCTGCAGCATACCACTGCTCTGGCCCATCCTACTCCCATACACTGTCTACGTCCTCTTCTCGGATGCTGGCACTTCCGGAGAGCTTTCCCTTCGGAGTGAATGGTTCCGACGACTCCCCGTCTGGTCGCTCTTTGCATCCTACTTCCCCGCCCGTCTTCACCGGTCACAGGAGCTGGAACCAACGAGAAAGTATATTTTCGGTTATCATCCGCACGGTATCATCTCACACGGCGCCTTTGCCGCTTTTGCCACGGAAGCCCTGGGCTTCTCCCAGCTGTTTCCTGGTATTACAAATACCTTGTTGACTCTCGACTCAAACTTCCGCTACCCCATCTACCGCGAGTATGCGCTCCGTCTTGGCATGGCATCCGTGTCTCGTGAGTCTTGCGAGAACATCCTGTCCAAGGGCGGCCAGAATGGCGAAGGCATGGGTCGTGCCATTACCATTGTCGTTGGTGGTGCTGCCGAATCCCTCGACGCCCGCCCTGGTGAAATCAAGCTAGTCCTCCGTCGTCGCAAAGGCTTTGTAAAGCTGGCCATTCGTACTGGCGCTGACCTTGTCCCGGTCCTGTCCTTTGGCGAGAACGACATTTACGACCAAGTCGACACCGAGTCCCATCCGTACATCCACAAGTTCCAACTGCTAGTCAAGAAATTTATGGGTTTTACCGTGCCCATCTTCCACGCTCGCGGTGTTTTCAACTACGACGTGGGTATGATGCCGTATCGTCGACCAATCAACATTGTTGTTGGACGTCCAATCAGGGTCGTGCAGAATGAACATCCTAACAACGACTACATTGACCAAGTGCACCAACAGTATGTCAATGAGCTGATGCGTATATGGAACGAGCATAAGGATACCTTTGCCAGGAATAGGACTGGCGAGCTGGAGCTCGTCGAGTAGACTGTTTTTGTTGGTGTGTTACATTATCTGTTTTGATAGACGCCTTTTTTCTTTTGCTCTAATGGTACAAGAGTGGTTTTTAGGAAGGGAGAATATCAATGAGACCTCTCAGATACAGGAACCTCAAGTAATGCACTGGTGTGCTGGAGATGGAATAATAACAGTTTTTATCGTTATTTGTTGTTGTTTTTTTCTTGCTTTTCTATGGTGATGGACTAAAGCTCTTGTAATGGCTACAGGAAGGAAAGTAACTAGAATAGGCAAGTACGCAAATTACGCTAATACTGTCGTCATACTCGGGACTAAGCTAATCTGACGATCCTGGAACTTCGTAGGCCTAGGTTAGTTCTAGTTACGTGCATATATGTATATGAGCACTTCTCTATAAAGGCTCTAACACCTTTTTAAGAAGTTCGGCCCAAGTTCAAAGCTCGATATTATTCTCCGTGTATATGACTTAATCACCTTATAGATTATAGCATAACTACCGATCTAGTCCTCCAAAACGGTCCTTGATCATTAAAAAAGAAGGAATGTATGTCATCTATAAAAACAAAAAACATTTCCGTCAATATTCCTCCCTACAATCCCAAAACGAAGCATGAGTACCGCACTCGTCAGCCAATCCTCCTAAACTCGTCTCTACACACCTCCGGCAATAATATTTTCCACTCACCTTCTTCAAGCAACCTCGACACTCTACTTGACCGCGATGGGCACGACTTCGACGTCGCAGTCGCAACAAGGGAAAACCGTACGTCGAGGGCCGAAGAAGTGTCCAGGAGCGAGACATGTGTGGCACTTACTATTCACACGAGCGGAAATTACATGCACTCCTCTTGCTTCCAAGGAGTATCAGCCAACTTCATACCTCAAATCGATTCGTAGAATTAAAATATACTAGCCTAGCACTCCTGGGCATCACCCGACAGAGATGCATGTGGGTAACGGATAGTAGCTGGGGGCGGTGCCAGTATTGCAAAGACATCCTTACTCCTAGATGCATGCAGCCCATCATTCACGATGCACATATGTCACCGCAGCGCGCTGAGCCCAGAACTCATCAAAAGAAGTACCCATATTGCCATCCACGAAAAGCACAACATAGATCTCGAACTCGTCTTCGTCTGCCTCATTGAATCGAGCTTCATCGAAAAAAAACCTAGGGTTTGCTGGGATGTGGCCGCTTCGCAAAAAGTAACTGTTCTCATCACCGTCAACTGCGCCGAATTCGTTAGGGTCGACGCCAACAGACGTAGTTCCATCTTTCAGCCTCGCCGGCAGCGTATAAATTTCGTCCTCGCATTTGAAGATCTCTTCCTTGTTGGGGTTCAGGAAAGGGTGGACGTGAGTGACAAAGTCGTTTATCGAAATGCGAGAGTACCGGCCGGCTTTTCAATGACTAGCGGCGCCGGCGGCTGGTATCGATACTCTTCGTCATGCTCGTCCATGGCGTATTTCTCCTGACAGGCGTTTATATGGATGGTGGCTTTGGAGAAGGGTGGTGGTGCGATGCTTTCGGATTTTATAGCGTGGTTTGCGAGGGGCGTGAGTGCAGGGCCGTCCCGAACTGCAACCTCGTCGAGGGAGCCGAAAACGTTCCAGTGCAGGCGATTGAGCAGATCTTGCCGAATTCTATCCGGGTCCTCATCGAACTCTACTGCTGTGGGAAGACTTGGATCCATGGCAAGGTTGAAGATTGATAATTCAGCAAGCAGTTTGGTGGATATTTGGGGATGACCATGGAACGGGCGTGGACGAAGCTCTACGTATTTTAGTGAGAAACGTGGCTCGAACGCAGTGCCGAAAAGCAGTCAGCATTCAAATTTATATAATCCATCGTACCTATCATATTGAGTTGCTAAATCCCGTTTCCGCCCCCACCGGAAATCCTTCCACCCGCTGGCCTGTTGGCGGCACAGTGAAGCAGGGACTAACAGGCTACAACACCAAAAAGAAATATACTACTTGATTGAACCTGGTCCCAAACTAGACCTCAATCGATATCCATATCCGAAAATATGACCAGCCTAAGGAGATAATGGCTCAAAACGGGAGATAGCCGCCAAGCTAACTCTACTCAGTCTGATAAGCCGTCATCGTCCACAGCATTCTTCTCAGCCGATATTGGCGTGCCTATCTTACATATCTTCGCTGCGTATTATCCCGTTATGGGAGGTGCATTGCAGTAGAGTTATTAGCACAAGGCTGACTCACGACACTACATCGTTTACAATGCGAATTGGATATGATTGTACAATATTAGAACCTCAAGTGCGGTGGCAAGCGGGGAAAACGCTGTTCTCTGTCTGGAAATTACGGCACATGTGAAGGTTTCTCGCGGTGTGAACAAGTGCCAGAGCGGACGTTGTATCATGGTCACGATCATTGCAATCTAGATGGAATCCGGAACGCCATTCACATCGACGAAGCACCGGTAGCAAAACCGACATTGGGATCCATCGGTCCTGAGGCCTCTTGCGAGTTCGGTTGATTTCATGTTTCGAAATGACTGAGATGATGACTGATGTGTACTGTGGAAGATACACGTTGGTATGCAATGGTTCTACGTTTGGAGGTTGTTGTTTGTCTTCGGGATACTGTGGAACAGCTACAGGCCACTGTACAATGTCCCTGTAAAGAAAAATATAGGAGGCTACTACTATCAATCGGGCACAGCAGTATGCCAGTCAGCGTTTGGCACATGAAAGTTGACGTCGAAAGGCATATAGCTCACAATTGCACAAGCCGAAGCAGGCAATACCAAGAAGACAAGCCGTGTTGATAAACTAGTTATTCATCCAGCTACATGACCTACATATAGTCAAGATTCATTCTATACTTGCATCACCTCTATCCATCCCTCCCATATAACCAAAGACCCAACAACAACTGCCAATCCAACCGAGCACGTTTGATATATACAAAAAACCATGCTACCAGAATGCATAGAAGAGAAACCAAAAAAGCCGCAGCGGGCCGAATCCCAAACTCCATTCATGCAAAATCATTCATCGCGTCCTCACCTCAGTCATGATGTGAAAAAAAAACACCACTTGATACACATTTCCACCTCTTATACAGCAACACAGCCGCCATCAATCTTCAGATGCCCGCCCGTCATGAACTTGCTGTCCTCGCTGACCAAGAAAGCCACCACACTGGCCACATCGTCGGGACTGCTAAACCGATCCAGGGCCGTCTCCTCCTTCAATTCAGCCAACTTCTCCTTGCTCCACCCATCTTTATAGCCCGGCGTCTCAATAATGCTCGTGTGGATAGTATTAACGCGGATACCGAGGGGACCGAGTTCCTCAGCGGCGGTGAGAGCGATACCGCGGAGAGCGAATTTGGAGGCGCTGTAGGAAATGAGGTTGGGGAAGCCGCGGAGACCGGCGATGGAGGAGCGGATGATGATGGAGCCGCTGCCGGATGTGGTTTGCATGGCTGTTGCTGCGTATTTGACGCCAAGGAAAGCTGGTTTTGGCGTTAGCTTTGGATGGATATGTGATTAGGGAGATAGGAAAGGACATACCGGACTTGGCGTTGATAGTCATGATACGGTCAAAGTCGTCTTCGGTAACGTCGAAAATGCTCTTTGAGGCACCACGCTGGCAGCAGTTCAACAGGGCGGCATCGAGCTTGCTAAAGCGCTGGACGACCTTCTTGGCGCACGCTTCGACGTCGGCTTCCTTGGTGGCATCGGCGACAATGGTGAGGAGACGCGATTCAATGGGTACGCCGGTGGGGATGGCGGCTTTGAGGACGGGTACGGCGGCCTCGAGGGCTGTTTGTTCAATGTCGATGAGGGCGACGTTGCAGCCTTCGATGAGTAGACGACCAGCAGATTCGACACCAACTTTGCCGCCGCCGCCCGTGATCATCACGACCTTTCCCTCGAGGCGTTGGATGGGCATGGGACGGGTGAGGTTGGTGGATGTGGGAGCGCGTTCAATGCCTGGACGCGGGGCCTTGTTCATGTTGAGAGTGGAGATGTTAGAGAATGGCACTCGCATGCTCTCGGTGGTGTGTGTGCGTTGCATGATGGCGGCGATGTATGTGTGTACAGGTGAGTGTCTGTGTCAATATCTACGTCTATGGTGGTGGTGATTGTGGTTGATGGCGGAGGAAGAAGAGGCCGTCCAGCGGGGAGATAGGCGTGCGTGTTGCTTGCCGGCAGGCGCCCGAGTGGTTTTGATATGGATTCATGGTACCTGGGGGGATTCATCTCCTCTTCCCTCAAGATGACGTAGAGTGGGCCGGGAAGTGCTAGGCGAAATCTTTTTCTGCGCTGCTCAAACATCCGTTGAGCCTCTTACGCCCGGCGGGTCCCACGCCCCCACCACCGCCACCCAATGGCGCTGCCCGCCGGTCACTGCCCGCATCGTCTCATCCACCTTGGGCGCAATGAGCGGTGGAATTGAATCCACATCTGCCACGCCCTATACCACCCTGAATCTCTCCATTGCTGTGCCAGAGACGTGCACCGTCGTCCCCTTCAAATCACTCAAGGTGGGGTCAGCCCTTTCCACCACTCACTACTCGTGAATTGGCTGCCATCTCACACGGCCCCGGTGCCAACCACCCCACGACGTCGACCCAGGCGGTCAGGGACGTACTTATCACCCTTCCAAACGGGCAACTAGCCCGGCCAGGTGCCCATTTGACAGAGTTTGGATGCAAAAGATACTGCATTCATCCTAATCGTGGATGTTGTCACCGCTTAACGCGGAACGTGTAGTTGAGCTGGCAGTACACCTACACACGCCCATCTGCACATCCAGAGACAGGCAGCGAGTCAGAAGGTAGCATTGTAGGCTGCCATGGTACTCTTTTCATCATGCAAACGTCATGGTACACCTGACAAGGGGACCGAGGACACGACAAGGTACATCGGTGGATGAACAGCAAAAGGGTCTCGGACGCTTTGCCGGATATGCGGGATGCTCCTCTCCACCAGCAATCAGCCGTACCGCAGTCTTGGCCCAAGTGAGCTTATCAGGGCTTTCATTCACATGTGCTGAGTGGTATCTGTTGATCCGCATCTCTTCGACCATCGTCTAATGATACGTCTTCGACAACCATGGCATATCAATACCCATCTCACCATGCTGTATGAACCACGTGTGGGGATCAGCATCGAACCAAGGTTGACATGTCAGATGAGGTGTATGTAAGCTACACACCAACCCACGCCAAACCTCCTGACATGCCGCCTTTAATGAGCACACCAGTGCCGTCCCAAAACAAGTGGGCCGATTATGCATCTCGCTGCCAATCGCATCCTCAACCACATTCAGGTCGCACGGCACTTCCCCTCCTCCCCAGTCCCCCATGGTCCCTAACAATACTTTGCCGAACACCAGTCCAAGAAATAATCAATCCCGTCTGCCAATGCCGCCGCCCCAACAGCAGCATGGTCGCTAAACGGGTACTCGCGAAGACTGACATCCCTCAATGCGAGACTTCCTTCTAGCACACTATGCAACTTCCGAGACAAAGTCGTCATCTGCTGCGCCACAAGAACGCCCTTTCTAAACTCAAATTCCTCCTCCGTCTCCGTTCGTCTCTGCACGGGACCTTGCTCCAGTGCCCCATAGCTAATCTGGAATGCCGGCCTCGTCCCATTCGTCGTATTCGCAGAACCAGGTGTCACAAGCGGCGCCAGAAACTCCGTAGAATTAAACACATAGCCATCATTGAAAGTTAGCGCAGGCGACGCACTCAAGAATGTATCAAACAAATCTGGTCGAACAGTAAGTGCATACAGCACGAACAGTCCCCCGAATGAGTGCCCATACAATGCATCGCGATCAAAATCCGCCTTAGGGAATGCACTGCTACGAATCCAAGGTCGTAGTGCTGTATCGATGAACTCGATAAAACTATCTGCATTCGAAGGCACTCCTGGGATTGCTGGTGCGGGACACCCCTCACACACGGGAGGTTGAAAATCGTAGCTGCGTTGACTGCTATACGGCGAGTCTGGGAGCGTCTCGGGATACCCGATGCTCACCACGATGCAATCCGGCATGTTGAACTCGACGGGGCGACGTCGACGTAGCGACTCGGTGGCGGTAAGGCCGAGCGCATTGCCATCTAAAATGTACCTATGTAGTCATGCATGTAAGTTTATTGAACGAATTGGGAGGGGGTGGGGGATGTGGCGTACATCGTTTCCACCACCGACGTTTCCTCGCGACTAGTCCAATTCAGCGGCCAGGAAAGCTGGATTTGGTATTCCCACGATCCATTCGTTGCAGTCCAGAACGCTAGGTTCTGTAGTACGTTTGGAGGCCACGAGGTCGCAATGGGATTGAATTGCCATGTGCTACTTAAATCCATCGTGGTGTCAATCGTATTTTGTGTGTTTCTGTGAGATTTTTGTAGTGTAACGCGGGTGTACTACCGCACCTGCCAACCCATACGCGCGGGGGGAGGGGCCTCTCAAAGCCTTTTTGTACCTGCGCTTCCCGTCAGGATTTCATTCCTTCGATGGGCGCATGCAGTATTTGCCCGCAACGGACTAGTCTACGTGTGCGGGGGAAAAGGATTCTAGTCCCGGTTGCCTTTTGGATAATATGCTTACCCCTGAACTTGGTTTCCTTATCTAGGTTTACAAGTTGCTATGCCCTTAAACCCTCCAAGTTCAAAAAAACATGCTGAGCTATTTATTCTGCTAAATAAAGATTTGCGGCTATGGGGAGTATCGTTGCTAAAGTGTAGTGCTGATACAGTGGTAGGAACGGGATGCAAGGGCCCCAAGGAACTGGGATAAACGGACGCCACCACGTGTGAACTCGTCAGTGCGCAAGCCACTGACGCAAGGTAGTGCTTGCTGCTGTATAACTATCTCACTATGGAACGGGGTTTTTATATTGGTTTTCTTGGCGATATATCGCTATCACATGGTGTACATGGTAAAGAAAGTCCAAGTTGTGGTAAAAAAAACGGAGTGAGAGCATTGTTTGCCATGAGAAGATGCCAGGAATTTATTAATTGGATTTGATTGATATGATAGAGATTAAAGAAATGATTAAAACGCGCCTCGGCCAGGCAGCGGGTCATTCTTCGCAGGGCATGCTGCATCGTAAGTCGACGGATTGACAAAGTTGGGCTTGACACTGTTGTTGTAGGCCAGTTCCACCAGTGTAGCGGCACCTGTTGATATTAGTATACATTTCTTTTTCAAGGAGTTGGATAAAAACTCACCTGCATTGTATTTCGGCCATCCATACTTGGTTAACCCACGCTGCGAGTCTCGAGCAAACGCTGCCCAAGCGCCCTGAACGTAGTCCCTGTACTTGTTTTCCGCACGGCTGTTGGGAAGACCAGAGATATCTTGAGCAGTGCCAAAGACAAGTCCAAGATCAGATCCGTGGTAGGCTGCGCTACCTCGAGGCCCGAGACCTGCGCTGCCGTTGTAAAGTCGGAGATTGTCCCAGTCGCCGTGGTATCTGTATCGCCAGGTAGGGACGTTGTGTTGAGCACGGTATCCAGCTGAAAGGGAAGTCGGACAAGTGAAGCTGCGTTCAGTGAAGAAGTCCCACTTGGCGTTGGTAAAGTTTATTTTGGCTGCCCATCCAGAAATGCGGTACCATCCGTCTTCGTGGTCAGTGTTGCCGAGTAGGAGCGGAATCCTCGCGAAAGAACCGGCTTCAGAGAGTTGCTGGTAATCCGCGAAGACTGTTTGGTTATCAACAGTCGGGTGGAAGGTCGCCTGCGTCAAGCCGACACTGGGAAGGCCAGGAACTCTCGCTGCTGCTGCGAGAATGGCCGACACGTTTGCTGAACGGACGCAGGCTATGACTGAAGCAGAGACGTCGCCAGCACCACCGCACCCAATCGTACGGGAAACGTTGTACCAGATAGACTGCGAGTACTCGACTGTGTTTGGGATGAAGCTGAGTGAGGTCCCAGACATGGGGATAAGACCCGAAACAATGGGGTCGTTCTTCCAGGCGTACGCCCAGTAATCGACCGCAGCACCACCAGCACTCTGTCCAAAGATAACAATACGCGAGGGATCGCCTCCGAAGCCTTTGATATTGTCACGCACCCATTCTACAGCGGCACGGTGGTCGCGAAGGGCGGCATTCTTCTCGATACCAGGAGCACCAGCAAAGCCAAAGATACCCAAGCGATAACTGATGTGATCAGTATATGTATGCGTGCAGAATCGATTAGTCTTACTTGAACGTCACTACCACAACATCTTCGGCATCGGCAAGGTACTGGCCGCTATAGAAGGGGCTGTGGGGGCCGGGTATCTGAAAACCTGAGCAGTGTTAATGCAAGTTTTTTACTCTGCATAAAGTGACAACGTACGTCCGCCATGGAGGAACACCAGCACTGGCTTTTTGGCGTGAGTTTTGCCGGCACTCGACGTCCAAACATTAAGCTTGAGGCAATCTTCGGATACAGGATTGTTGTTCTGCGCAGCAAAGTTCTTCCACACACGTAAGCCAGATGGTTGTGTAAAGTTCGGAAATGAAGACACGGGCGGCTTAACAGCGGGACAATCACTACAGCGTTGTCAGATGCGTTTCACGCGTGGTACCGTGGAAACATACGCTGACTACAACTATTAGCAAGTTTCTCGAAATGTAACATTGACAGTACCTACCCACTCCGCCGCCTCGAACACGGACCCTAGCGGCGCTTGATATTTCTTTGGCGCTGCGAATCGCAGCTCACCCACAGGCGCCTCAGCATAGCGGATTCCCAGAAACTCAGTCACGTGAGTCTTGTTAGAAGCTGGATGACCGACTACAATGCCACTCGACGTCTCGACACGTGACTTGCCTGTTGGCGTTGAGATAGCCGAGCCAAAAAATGAGGCTATAGCTGCAGCTGTAAGGAGAAGGTGCTGCATCTTTGTCAACGCGAAACCACGACAGCCCCAGTGAGGATTTGAGTGGCTGGCCTGGCGACAAAGGGTGGGCAGCGGGCTTATAACGGAACAAATCCCACACGATGGTTCGCCGCTGGGCTACGGGAGCGGGCTGGCTAGCTGGTAGCCCATGTCGCTTGGTCGCCGTCA